CCAAATTTCTTGGTAGCTGATAAATTAATGATTGGCTACCTGGCCTTTTCTCCCTACCCAGTCAGTAGAATTTAGAAGTCAAGGGACTTTGCTGAGTAACTAAGTGTACCATGCTTTAACTGAGGTTCTAAAATCTTCCCTTGTCAGATTTTTTTTTTCCCCCTCATAGCAGTTTTGTCAATTTAGATGTCTCAAACAGTTTATGAGAAGAATATTGATAGTTACTATTTACCAGAGAGAACAAATAAACTTCTCTTCTTTCTCCTCTCACTCCCACTCCCACCCTCATTTCCCTGAAAAAGCACAGTTTCTAGGAAGGTAAAAAAAACATTGCTGTTGGGTCAATTCCAACTTTTAGTGACCCTATAGAACAGAGTAGAACTGCCCCATAGGGTTTCCAAGGCTGTGATCTTTATGGAAGCAGACTGCCTCATCTTTCTCCTGCAAAGCTGCTGATAGGATCAAACCACTAACCTTTGGGGTAGCAACCTAGCATTTAACTACTGCACCACCAGGGCTCTGGCATTAATTCCTGTTAAATAATTGATTAATCAAACTACATTAATGGATTCAAAAATGTTTAGGTACATTCCCACAGGCTTGTACTCCAAATGTATTTATTTATCTATTCAACATAAACTGTCTTTTTCACAAGCCCTACTTCTCTTCTTACTACCGTCTTTCGGCATTATTCTTTTAGTTGGAAAAAATGAAGTTCCTTCTTTTATGCCCATTCTCTTCCTATCCTGTGGTTTCAGATCTTGCTGATCTTTCCTCTCTCTCTGACATAAGCTTGGGTTCACTCTCTGATCTCCCCTTCCTTGTTCTAGTCTACTTGATCAGATCTTTTAGAAAACATTAAACAATCTTCAAAGTCATTCCTCTTATAAACTGCTTCCTTATAACCTTCATGGTCTCCCTATAGTTTACTGTAAAGGAGTTCATGTTTCTTTTTTAGTATTATTATTATTCTGATCTCAGTCCACCTTTCTGGCTTCTCTTGTAGAAGCAGTCTTTGCTATTCTTGCTGTTGCCGTTCTACAAAAAACTTGACTCGTTAGCAGCCATCCTTTATGAATTCTACCCATTCTTCTAGGCGTACCTCAAGCACAGCCTCCTTGTTAGGCTTGCTTTTGCTTATATAGTGATTATTTTCTCTGTACCTAGTTAATGGATTATTTGTTAATGAATGTTAATGAATTTGTTAATGATTATTGATAATGAATATCAGTTCCACTAGGTGTTAGGGATACAGTGATAAATACAGTCCTTGTCCTCAGTTTTACTATTTACAATCTCTAATGCTAACTTGGCACATATGTAATTGTGTAAGGTGGTGTGTAATATTAGGCCCCTGCCCAATGCAGCCTCTAGCCTACTCATTCATGGTGTCAACTGTTGAGTTGGAAATATTTTTAATCATCAAATAGAAATTCCTTGAGGGAGAAACAACTGGTGTCTTTTTAGCTTTAACTTGTTCATTTCTTCCTCCAAATTTAGTTTCCCAGTGTTAATTTTGGCAGTAGTGCCAATCAATAAAAAGGTGTCAAGTGTATATACTTTCCTGTGACCACTTGAATTTTATAGCATTATGCTCTATTTCACTAGTATCTCAATTAGATAATGTTAACATAAGGTGTATCAAAAGTTTATCAAATTCTCAAATGAAAATTCTTATCTTGGATTATGTGTAGATTTATAAAGTACATGAAATGTGTTAAATACCTATTTTTTTTTAAGAGTGGCTAGCATCCAGTAACTTGGAGCCATTCTTTGCTTGAAGGATGGATAGTCTCTTCTCACATCAGTATTAATTGTACTAATAATTTGTTTACAGGTGTTCTTCCAGAGAGCAAAGCCCTAAGGACTGGATCTCCCTGTGCCTACTTCATGATCAGGAATTCCAGTTGATAACTTAAAAAGATGTGATTTTTGTGTTCTATTCACACAAAAATCATTTTTTTAACATTACTTTAAGCTTACTGCAATATATGTATTGGGATTTTTCTGTAAACTGGGTATAATTTTTCCTAAGTATGGGCATGGACAAAAGAAGTTGCTTGCATGCCAGCTCAAATTGTTCTATATAAAAATGCTGTTAAAAGATACAGCGAAGTTATCTTAGTACCTTAATTTTTTTTATTTGAAACTTTAAGTCCTTTATAAAGACCATAGTAGTGGAAAGCAAAGTACTTTTTAAAACATTGCTGAATATAAAATGTTTGAGTTTAATTTTCTTTTATGTGTGTAGTCGCAAAGTATGGGAGGAGTACAACAGTCAGAACTAATTTTTGTAGATAACCATTACATTTCTTTAAATTGTTTCAATGCCAATGTGTATTCTACAAAAGAGAATGGTTTCATAAATTAATGCTTTAAAAGTAGGCTGGTGGTGTTACACATTTTTTATAAAAAAAATAAATTTTATGTAGTGAAATCTACTAAGTCTTTTTTGGAATTATTATAAATACTTTAGCCTTACTTTTTCTTAATCATGCCTTGATTTTCCATGTAAAGATTTGCAATTATGAGTGTATGGATGCTTTATTTAGTTATGCTGCTAAAAAGTTATATACAACTTAGTTCTTTTAAATAGAATCATTTAAAAATGCACTAGAAAAGCCTATGTGAATCTTTTCATAGGGATAAAAGTTTGACATTTCTCTTTTCTAAACCTTTTATTGGATTTATTTAGACCAAAATATACCTCTTTGTTTATGATGCTTGTAAGTTGTAGGTTCCCTTTTAATTCCTGGAAGCACCTTCCTCTGCTTTCTGCCATTTTTATTTGTGGCTATTCTGGAAAGCAAGAGGGAAACAACAGTATCAGTAGTAATAGTGAATAATTAAGGAAAGAGGAGAGAAAACTAAGCAGAAGAATACAGTGACTTTAAGTTAAAATTCTAAAAGCCTATTGGGGGAGTGTTTGTGTGGCCTGTGTACCTTAGTGGTTTCATGGATGGGTTTCCGTGGTCTATAAATGCCCTACAACTCTATTCTGATTGCACATGAATCTTCTTCTGGGGTTCATTCCAGAAGAGAATTTAAATATTTTCCTTGCATCATGGAAAGATACTAAACTAAGACTAAATTGACAATTAATTATAAAAATAGACCAGTGGAATGTATACTATACTTTAGTATAAAAATTTTTTTGAATAGATAAGTGAAAGCTGGGTGTTTCTTGTGTAGATACCCCTGTCTGATAAGAGAGATAATTGCAACTATTTCAATAGTAATTTATCAAAACATACTAGCAAGTATCATAGCATAGTGGTTAAGAGTTTAGACAGCACAGTCTCTGAGCCAGATACAGTAGGTTCAAATACCAGTACCGCCAGTAAGTGTTTTAGAAATTTGGGCAAGTTAAATAACTTCTTTCTGCCTCAATATCCCCATTTGTAAGATAGGAGAAATAATGGTAGCTACCTCATAGGATTGTTAGAAGAACTTAACGAGTTACCCGCACTCAATGGCTTGGTAATTATTATTGTTATATTATTCCATATATGTAAAAGTGACATCTTCTTTTCCCCTGATTCTTCAAAGCCTTTCAGAAGATTCACAGATACTCAGTGCTATGAGAGATCAAGATCTGGAAACTTAAGAGTTTGTAGTAGAAATTAAACTCTATATTAACAATAATCATGCATAATTCCCATCTTTATTCCTTGAAGCTGCCCAGAGCACTTTACTTAGGGAGTACCATAACAATTAGGAAATTTATTTGAATGGTACTTAGTCTCCAAAGCAGGTACCCAAATAATTGTCTCAAAGGTGGTTCTTACCTGTCACAGGTGAGATAATTGAGACTGAAAGACTTAAGGTTTGTGTGACTCAACTATGAAACCACAAGGGTTTTATGATGCCTGGTTTAAGTCTGTGCCTAGCAGTGTATTTAAATCTTAATGCTAACATTAATTGGTTTATAAGTGGCTTCACTTTTAAGAAAATACTGTGTAGTATTGTAATGTGCATCACTAATTATGTAATAAACATGTAAATCAAGGCCTTTGGCTCAATTAATCACATTTTCTTCCATATAGCTTTGAGCTGTTTTTACTGTTGGAAGGAGCCTTGACAGGTTGTCTTCCTATTAACTATGGGAAAACTGAAACTGATTGGAATTGTAAGAAATGAGTATCACTCTGTTGTTAGAATGATTCCATCACCTAAGCATTGTTTCAAATTGTAATAAAGTAACTTCCCTTGTAACAACTCATTAGAGTTGGCTTTTGTTATCTGCACTGTGCATATGATCAAACTGAGACTTAGAAAGGTAAGAACTTGTGTAAAGTTATGGAGAGCTGGGACTGCAACCTAAGATTCAAAAGCCTTTGCTCTTAACCGTTATGCTGTGGTTTAGCATTTCATTGGTTGCTATAGTTCTCAAGTGGGAGGAAGCCTTTCTCTTCCCCAGCCCCTCAAACATTTAGTTCTAGGTCAGCAGGAGTCACTGACGTCTTGTTGAGAAACACTGTGGTGCTGAAGTGGGCAAGAAGGAGCCCCCTAGGGAGTAACTGCTTAAACTCTTGGCGACACAAATACTGCAGGACCTAGTTTTAATACTCAATTCTCCAGTACTGTCATTTTCCAAAATACAATCTGAAAGACCGAATTAAGTGAATATATTTACGTTAAGAATTTCACACTGAATTATCTTGAGAGGACAATCTAGCTACACTACAAACCAAAGTGGTCTTTAAAATAAGTACATAGCCATCGTTCTATGATAGTCCCTCATATCTAGCTAGCACCGCCCACCTGTGACTGTTAGAATGTTTGTAATTACTATAGTTCAGTGTGTTCCCCAGTATATCTGCACTCTCCTGGAACTCGGGGACACAGATTTTCATGGGGACAGGAACCACTGTTCACTGTGCAGGGGCCTGGTTTTACAGAATAAGGGAGGCGCAAAGGCTGTGAATGGGGTCTCCAGACAACCCCAGCCTCCCTTCTCGAGCCAAACCCGCGTGGCGGCCAGGCGAGCATGCGCACGCGCACACGCGAGCGCCGGCCGTCTGTCACGTGGCCCTCGGCCGGGGCTCGCAAAGCCGGAAGTGTACCCTGGCGCGGGGAGGCCGCGGGAGCCCGCTGGCGGTGGCGAGGCAAAGACCCGGCTCTGTAAGTGGGGCGAACGCAGGTGGAGGGGCCAGGACTGCATGGGGCCGGGGCGGCCGGGGCTGGCATGGCCCAGTGGGGAGCAATTCCGCCCCATATGGGAGGCTGGGGTGCTGAGTCAGAGCCGGGACAGGTCAGGAGCCCAGAGAAGCCCCGCACGACCCGAGGCCGAGCCGTCCACAGACCCTGGCCTGGCGGACACCGCTTCCCAGGTGTCTCGGGCGTCCGAAGCTGGGTGGAGTGGTCGCGCGGGTCCTGCTCTCTCCACCTCGCCCTCTCGCCCCACAGCCGGCTTTCTGACCTGCAGCTCCAGACTCTCCCAGGTCCAGCGCCGCTGGCCACTGGGAGGACGTGTCCGTTACAGGGTCTGAGTCTTGGCCGCCCCTGGGAGATGGGATGCCCTTTTCCTTTGGAGTTATATTCTACACTTTCGAAACCTCATTCTGAGTATTGACATCATTGGCTTTTTTAAATGGATATTTCTCTCGGGCAATTTATAAAAACAGACGTTTCATTAAGATTTTTGTGATGTTAATATAAGATTTTGAGTCACCGGAAGCCAGAAGCTGAAGATGTGTTTAATGTACACAGACAAAATGCAAATTCCCAAATGTTTTCTTGCCCCTGGTCGACCTGGGTTGTGGGTTTGTTTGCTAATCTGTTTCCCAGGTATTTTCAGTAGGTGCCCTCAAAATAAGTTCTGCCGAGTAAATGTCAAATGCATAACCAAAGACTGCCCTTTTTCACTCTTGAACAAATGCTCTCCTTATAGTGATAGAGTTTGGAAATCCTGGAACTTTGAGTATATGGCAGCTCACCAAACCTGTTTTCATTTCTAGACAAATGGTAACTTTCGTTTTGGACAATATGAGGAAGTAGGTTTAAGATAGCGTCGCCAGTCACATACTTGTTGAGTATCTGCCTGTACTCTGTCAAAATTTGAGATTTATATAGCAAGCACCTTGTGGATGTGCTGAGTCATGTTTTAACATGTTGTTATTCTCGAGTTATTACAAGACAGTTTCAAAAGATATTTCCCCTGATCATTGTGAAACCGTAGTTTTATATTATCATATAATGAGCAGATACCTTAACTGATGAATTTGTTTTATATTATGCACTCGGTGCAAGTTAGTACCTAGCAATACTGTTTGCCATTTACAGATACCTCTAAAGAGCAAAGTTCCGTTAATTAGGGAAGAATTTTCATCAGATATTTGAGTGATGTCTTATACCTCTGGAATGAAATATAGTAGCCAACAAATATGTATTCTTTATTGGTGAAAAAGGAATCTTACTTTTATTGCTTACTTCCCGTAAAGTGCTATATTTAAAATTCCTTATCTGAATTAGATGACTGGTAAAATTATAAAAATGTGTCCTAATATACCAGAGCTCCAGTATACCAGTATACCAAAGATTTAAGAAGCCCTGGTGAAGCAGTGATTAAGTGCTTAGCTGCTAGCCAAATGGTAGGTGGTTCTAACCCACCAGCCTTTCAGCAAGACAAAGATGTAGAAGACTGCAGGCTTACAAACTCCTATGGGGCATCTCTACTTTGTCCTATAGGGTCAGTGTAGGAGCTCTGGCAGCATAGTGCCTAAGGCACTTGACTGCTAACCCACCAGCCACTCCTCGGAAGGAAGGTTGGGCAATCCTACTTCCGTAGTGTTACTGCCTTGGAAACCCAAGGAGGGGTCGCTATGAGTCAGAACCGACTCGACGGCAAATAACAACAAACAGCAACAGCATGGGGCATCTCTACTCTGTCCTATAGGGTCACTATGAGTTGGAATGAACTCAGCGGTAGTTTTTGTTTGTTTGTTTATTTTCTTGTTTTGCCAGAGATTGGTGAAATGTAGACCTCTGGCTGTTCTATATGTTCCTAACCCTGTTGGGAATATTGGAAGTTGTTCATTCTTCACTGGATACCTAGTCCGAAATACTGCCTTCAGTCCTGGTTTACTATGAAGGGATAGTAAATCTGTGTTTCAGTCTGACATTACAGCAGATTTAAGGTGATGCTAGGACTAGTGTTTATGTTGTGTTGGCATACCTCATACCTTTTATGCCAGCATGGTTAAAGGGCAAGGATAAGAGTGATGCTTATTTTTTAAGACTTGGTGATACATATTTGGTAGCGTATTCTTAGAGGTTAGAAGAACAATAAATTATTTTCTGAAAAGTTAGTAACTTTTCAGGAATACTAATTTTTCACCCTTCCATCATCATTCTCAGGCTTCATGCAAAGGAGCTCTGGTAGTATAGTGCCTAAGGCACTTGACTGCTAACCAGAAGGCTAGTGGTTCAAACCCACCAGCCGTTCCTCAGAAGGAAGATTGGGCAATCTACGTCCGTAGTGATACCACCTCAGAAACCCAAGGAGGGGTCGCTATGAGTCAGATCTGACTGGACAGCACATAATAACAATAACAACATGCAAGTGATATTTTAGGTTATGGAAATGTTACACAGTGGCATCAGTTGTTTTCAGTAGTGTTGCCCTGTCCTAGGAAGAAACAAAATAATTTTTCTATATTTCTGTTATAGTTTATATTATTTTTCTTTGTTTTGAAACACTTTAAAATATAATTTATCATTGAGTAATCTTTCAAAACATTTGAAGGAAGGAAGTGACTGATAGCACCCTTACTAAAAGTAGGAATAAATGAATGGATAAGGGCAAGACAAAACTAGAAGGAAAATGGATATGTCTTTCAGTCCTGTGGTATATGAATTAAATTGAATATAAGCAGTCATCAGTTAATGTGGTTTTTTTTTTCCAGAGCCCACAGAGCATTTTAGCCTTTAACCTTTCTAGAAACTTAGATTTTTATATCAGATTGTTTGTGCACTTCAGTTGAGCAATAAATAATGTATGATCTTACTTGTGATTACAAGTAGCTAACATTTGTTTCTTAAAAGTATTATACCCTTAAAACATCTGTGCAAATCTTTTCTTTTCTCTTAGTATAACAAGAAGATCACCTAACCAAGCAGAGATGCAGAGTACTTCTAATCATCTATGGCTTTTATCTGATATTTTAGGCCAAGGAGCTACTGCAAATGTCTTTCGTGGAAGACATAAGGTTGGTGAAAGGAAAACTTTGAGGGTTTTTATCACTGTATATGTATTCTTCTGAGAAACACATTTGTATCAAAATGTGGGACTTGGTGATTTTGATTATTTTGTCAAATAAGAATTCAGTGAAAATAATTTTTCTATACAATCAAAAAGAGAATACCTGGTTTTGTGGTTGCTTGAGTATATCTTGTGTCAGAGGCAGTGAGGATGTCTACCCAATGGCAGCAGAGATTGTGTTGGGGAATGGAGGAAATTAAGAGGTTGGTTGAAGGGACTAAGGAAGGTTAGTTTAGTGTGGTTGTGCCTTTTGATGTCTTCCCCACCCCAGATCTCACTAACAGAAGTTCCGTGTGGCACTTAAGGGAGGTGGAGGCATGGTGGGATGATGGGATGATAGGGAGGCAGATGTGTTCTTTGAAGGGGAACTTACTGATTCTGATATGCCCTGCTAAAATAGCATCCTACAAGGTAGACTGGAATAAAATTATATTATCAGCATGGAGAGCAAGTAAAAAGCTATATCCTGGTATGAGGTAGTGAGAACCTGGTAGTAGAAGTAGAAATAGAATAAAAGGGTTAATCCCAGGGCATGTCCAGAACCAAATGATTTCCATGTCAAATTGGATATTGAACAATGAAATTATTTAAAATAAATGAAAGACAAAGTTTGTGTTCTGGGAAGGAAGGTGGAAAAATAATGGAATAAAAAATCTTTTTATAATGCAAATAATCCACTAATTTTTCAGCACGATGAATTTACTTTTAGCAAAGTAATGTTTGGAGCCTTTTTAAATACTTACTTTCAGGGACAGGGCTTCTAAACATTTGATAGACGAGTTCCTTTATATTTTCTTGTAGCCTTGAGACTACTAGTCAGTTTTGTCAGTGATAATGAGATAAGTACTCATGGGAGGGGCTGTTTCCTCTGGGTAGAGTCTATGTCTATGAACAGTTTCTGTGGCTCATGGAGAATGATCAGAAGTTGGGATGACCTTTAGTTTTTTGTCGTCTGATTTTAGAATTGTCCACAGGCTCAGAGGCTTTGATCAAGTTAATTGTGATCAGCCTTGGATATTCCTGCTGACACTATTTTTTTTTTTGTGCACTGTGCCAAGAAGAGAAAAACAGGTGGTAGTACAGGATTTAGCATTGAGGACACATCTCATAGTCTGTCTGCCTGTGACCAAATTAATGTAGCAAATTTTAATAAGAATCTGGTATGTCAGGTACTGTGGTGAGCCCAGTGAATATAACTTCAACTAATGTGCAAGTACCTGCCTACAGAATGTTTCAAGTTTAGTAACAAGATAGCATTAGAAGTTACATGATTTGGAAATGAATGGGATGACAAGTAGTCAGTAAGGATAGGGGTTTAAGTGCCTGGCACTGGTAGATATTTCATGTATTCTGGTCCTCTTTTCATACTTAAATCAGTGTCCTCTCTGTACACAGTACCTGACACGTAGTAGACACTCTGAAGATGCTTACTGAAAGTAGGAATAAATGAATGGGTAAGGACAAATTAAACTACCCTAAAATCAACCTAAAGTTTTTTCAAAGGAACTAGACAAGTACTTTATCCAATTGAGAGACATAAGAATTGACTCAGTATTTGGTCCCTAAAAGTATGTGTTTTGAGAAGCAATGTTAGTTCTCAGTGACATCAATTTCAAGGGTTCAAGATTATACCCCAGATACTCTGCTTCTCCTTAATAACTGTTTAAAGATTTTTAACCTTATTAGTTATAAACCCTTTTATCCTATTGCTCAGAATGACCAAGTCCCTAAATTTACTATTTGTTATTCAGAATATATCACTTGCTTAATGTCTGTTTCATTAATTTGCCTTTAGCAAGTAATATGTATAAGTAGTTGTATATGTGTGTGATCACCATGGTGAAATTAAAGGAAAGAAAGTTGTAAGAAGGATATATGTTGATCTGTGCATGTTCTATGCATGAGCCATGTTATTGCTGTTGTGTGCCATCAAGTTGATTCTGACACATGGATCTCTGAATATTACTGGTATATGCTTTGACTTGGGGACTATGAATGATAAATGGCCGGTGAATAAATGACAGGTTATAAATGACAGGTGAATGAAAGCAAAATGGTACATTTTCACATGTATCTGAGTTATCTTACAGGAATGATGTAGACTACAAAAATTTGGAAAATACTGGCCTTGATTTCAGGGAGTACATTACAGCATTATCTTGTTTTCCCTGCCTGTCTCTTTGTGAGGATTCTCAATTTTAGACTGAGTTTGAGACAGGTACACTCAATAAAAATCTCTCTGTGGCATGATACATGTCTTCCTAGTGCTGCTGTAATAGAAATCCCACAAGTGGGTGGTTTTAAGAAACTGAAATTTATTTTCTCTGTATAGGAGGCTAAAAGTTCTGAATTCAGGGCCCTAGATTTTTTTTTTTTTTT